GTAGCTGTGGAAATATTTGCTATTTTAGCTTCTAGTTTTGGTTTACTTTTCTGTATATTTGCACCAAAATCTTATATAATTTTAGTAAAACCTGAATTAAATACAAAGAGGTGTGTAATGTGTAAAATGGCATCAAACCCACAATAACAGAACCAAACAAGAACTGAAAGTTTAATTTAAATTTGTTGAAACTACAGTGAAACTACAAGAAAACATCAAAAGTGTTGTTTTCTGAAGTCCCATAGAGATCTAAATCTCTATGTAAGTAATGAAGTGAAAAATTAGAATAAACAACCGCCGTGCTGTGCTATTAGAATTAAAGTCTGTGCATGTATTTCTATATATTTTACAAACATGAAGATCTTTGACTGTGTTTGAGGAAAGGCAGCAAAAATAATTATATTAAAAAATAAAATGTTTGTGTTAACAGAAAAGCTTTGTTAAATAATTAAAAGCATTTATGAAAAAATGATTGATTTCCCTGTTTTCAGAGACAAAACACTACGCTGAACTATTTTCAGGCAGATCAAAGATGAGCGAAGGCCGTTAAGCCCATCCGATCATTTCTATTTCTCTAAAGTCCCTAACCAGTATTAATTGTACCGGGAGCAACACTCACAAGTATGAAATCCCCCAGTACAACCCCAGAAAGAGGTCATTTAGAGTTGCCAGTTATTAGCAAAACTACCCTACATGTTTTATGTGGAACATGCAGACTCCACAAATTCACAGATTTGAACCTAGGACACTAGACCTGTGAGACTGTGGTGCTAATCTCTCTGTCACCCCATATTCACCATAGGTAAGCTTTATCAAATCTGTGCTCCTCTGTCACCAAAATAATTTAATGATAAAAAAACAGTATTGACAAAATGGATTGAGAAAAGATTAACGGATTGTCAATTGTACTCTTTACAGGCACTCTGCAGGCTAACCATTCATCACATTCCCATGTGAATGCCTACAGCGCATTACTTTGGCTCAGATATGGATTCTGGATCTTTATTCTATATCACCTAATGCTCATTAACCAGTTTCCTTACTTTATGTGCATAAAGTCTTCTGTCTTAAAAAGTGAGTAAACATGATCACTGAAAAAATAAATCCAAAACACTGCTGAGGATAAAACTTAAAAGATGATAATGTTTAGTAAATAATCATGAATAAATCATACAATTGTGGAGGGATCAAACATTATCTGGATTTCTGTTCGAAGAGGTTGCACACACTTCTCTTTCACATTGGTTTGAGCTGGTTCACCTTAGACAGGAGGATAGGGATCAAGGTATGGGGTCAGAACGAGAGATATGCCCTCAGGTAGCAGACGTGGGGCGACCTGGTGAGGTGGGCCTCTCGACAACTGAACCCAATGGTGAGCCAGGAGGATAGGGAGATCCGGAAATATAAAGCCCCAGACAACAAGACACACTGGAAGAACAAGTAATGCACAGGGAAACTATGAACACACCTCTAGGTGTGGAGGGCTTGACACTACCCCCACCTTCAAGGGTGGCACTTGACACCCAAAAATAAATGAGCTGCACAGCACTGCGGGGGGGGGGGACCCCATTTAACTGAAAGGAAACCTCTGGTAGTCCATGGCTGAGAGCTTCCCCCTCCTCTGGGGTAAAAACCTTTATTGAGTAGGGGGGGGCGGGTAGGGTTCGGTGGGAGCAAAACACAAAAAAACAGACAAAACAAGTAAAAAAGCACGCACAACAAAAAATAAGCCCTCACGGAACAGGGGAACAAACAACACATAAAAATGACTCACAAAAATTAGGGAGACCAGGGGGCATGAAAGCCCAGATGAGAGAGACCAGTGTGTGTGGGAGCTTGGGACAGGGAGGCAGCGGGCGTGGGAACCTGGGCAGACAAAAAGAAATCACACGCAAAAATAAACCCTGACGGAACAGGGGGATCAACAACAAGAACAATACCAGGGAGACAGGGAACCAGAAGCTGGGTAGGCCTGGAAACAGGAAGCCTGGACGGCCAGGAGACCAGAAGCCAGGAAAAAGGACAACAGAGACCAGGACCAAAAGCCAGGGCGGCCAAAAAAACAAAAGCCAGGACAGAAGAAAAGGGAGACAAGGAAGAAAAGCCAGGGTGGCCAGGAGAACACTCCCGGGGCCCAGTGCACGCTCGGCATTCTGTCATGGGAGCCGGGGGCTAGCCGTGGAGTGAGTCTGGGAATATGGGAGGACCCCATGCGTAGCGGCAGGAACGGAGCAAACGCGAGGGTTCAAGGCATGGGGCGGAGTCAGAACGTGACACAAGCCCTCAGGTAGCAGACATGGGGTGAGCTGGTGAGGTGGGCCTCTCGACAACTGAACCCAATGGTGAGCCAGGAGGATAGGGAGATATGGAAATATAAAGCCCCAAACAACAAGACACACTGGAAGAACAAGTAAAGCACAGAGAAACTAGGAACAGGACAGAGCAGGAGTGCCCTCTAGATGTGGAGGGCGTGACAGGTACTTCCTTCAGGGAGATAATCAAGTCTAATTCATCACGTGATGGTCTGATTGTAAAGTCTGGAATTACAGAAATGAAACAAAAGGGGAGCTAATAAGTAAGAGGTAAGTTTTAACCCCTGTTTCTTCAAATTCTGGAAAATCTCTGGGATCCACAGATTGGCTTTCCCATGAACTAGGAGCAGTTTTGGATTGAGGTGAAAGGCCACGCACTGCCACAGCAATCCCAGGTGCATACAGCTGTCCCTATAAGCCAGCTGAACAGGGATTCATCTGCTAAGGTGAACTAGCTCAAACCAATGTGAAGAGTTTCACCCTCTCAGTGAGACAAACTATTGCACATTTGTCATTGAAACCACCTTCATACACCTCTACCGAAGTGAAATAAAAATGAGTTGCTTTTGTTGCAACTCTGTTACAGCAACCTTAGCTTTCCGAGCTACTGGCCGGGCTCACACCTGCTTAGCTTCTGTGTGAATTTAATGCAGTTTACCGTAAGAGACTGGGAGATCTGATACATCTGTAATGTTACACTTTGCTGAACCGTATCACGGCATATTTCTAAATATGAATTAATGAAACTATGACCAGTGGAATGGCATATCATACCACAGAAACACAATGCATTTAGGAAATATATAAAACATGTACTATTATTATAGGTTTCAATGATTAATGGATAAAAAAAGTAGAAAATAATAAATGCTTCAAATCAAATCAAAGTTTATTTATCAAATGCACAACAATACGGCGTGCAGCAGTAGTTGCTGGCAATGAAATGTCTTTTTCTGCAAGCTCACAAAAATTACAAGAATCACAAAAATCACAAAAATTCACAAAAACACAAAAAAACACAAAATTGAGGT